AAATTGATTAAGATTAAGCTTAAAAAATATTTTAATATTTATTTTATTTTGTAAATTTTAACAGTAATAAAAGATGAGGAAAGGAGCAAAGCATACTTTCATTGTCTTTTATATGATAAATATATAGAACTAAAATTAAAATACTTTTTCTAATAATAATTTTTGTTATAATTTTTGATATAATAATATATGTTATAATTTTACTTATAATTTTTTATGTACAATATAATTTTATTTATTATTTTTTTATAGAGAATAAAAGAACGCTTTAATTGGCATATAAAGGATATTTTTCCATTTAAAAAATAGAGATCTTGAAATCTTTAAAATATTTTATTTGAATTATATATATCAAGTGATGTATTACTGGAAATTATTTACTTTTGCTTGAAATGAAATTTTTATCTAATAAAATGACTAAATTTAATTGTACATAAAGGATAAACCATTTAAAACTGGAAATTGAAATAATTTCAAAATTATTATTAATTATATTATAAAAAATTTTAAATAGAAATTAAATAGTTTTGAGATAAATATAATTTAATATTGATTTAAAAATGATACAATTTTTTGTTTTCTAAAAAAAGAAGTATTAAATTATTTATGTGAAAAATTATTAGTTATAAAAAAATTTTATTTTGATTTGATAAATAAAATTTCATAAGCACAAAAAAGCATAAATAAAAAAATATCACTTCATCTTTCATATAAGTTTTATAAAATTCATTATAAAATTCATTTTATCAAATTGAATTTCATTATTAATAATGAAAATAACAAAATGATATTTTCATAGTATAAATATTTTTTTTATAAAAAAAATCTCAAATAAAACCGATTAATCCATTGAATTATATGATTTTATGTATTATAAAAAATATGTGATTTTATTTAAAAAAATATATTTTATATGTGTTCATTTATAAAAAAAATAAATTATATTAAAATATGCACTTAGAATGAATTTATATTCCATTAGAATGAAATTATATTCATTATGAAGCTATTCAATTTTTGTCAAAGTTTTATTCGATGTAATAATTTCGAAAATATTTCAGTTTCTAATTTTACAATTCTAATTTTAGCAATTCTACTTATATCAATTGTTTAATATTTAATTAATTAATTAAAAATGGAAATACTTGATTGAATGAATATTTTGGATATAGTTTTTATATTAAACGAATTTATTTGTTCAATATGTATGCACGGAAAATTGAAAGAGTATGATACAACAATAGAAATAATATTATAATAATTTAATTGATTAAATTAAATAGATAATAATCATTTTATATTTATATCAATCAACTTAATAATGTTTTTTCACTAATTTTTTGTATGGTATGTATTTTATTATAATTATAATGTATGGCTTTTTTATTTTATTTTTGTAATTTTTAGACAATCATCTTATTAGGTTTTAACTATATGAAATAGAAATATTTTAAAAGAATTTTAACGCATATGAAAAATTAGAAAAGCATATTGTAATTTAATTAGACAAATATTTCGTTGATTTTTTTATATAATTTTTATGCAGTGTTTAATTAAAAATGTATTTTATATAATTTATTGTAAATATATAAAGTTTTATTAATTTAGTGTATATATTGTAAACAACAATTTATAACTTTATTCAAATTAGTATATTGTCATTTATATTCTAGAAAAAATTTTATTATTTATTTTTATTAATTATTCTTTTTAATCTAGAAATTTTCTGATAATAATAAATTCATTTTCTTCATTCTATTTTATTTCATATAAAGTAAAATAAAAAAATCTGATTGATTTGAATAAATAATACTTTATCTTACAATATATAAATTAGTTTTCTAATTTATCTAAATATTTTTTTTATTTTATCTTGCAAAATTTATTTTTACATATAAAAAGAAATAATAAGAATAATAAATATTTTGCGAAAATTATATTTTTGACAAATATTATTTCATGATCTTCCTATTTATTTTCTGGATGATTTAGATCACAAGAATTTACGCGAAGCATTGTTACATCGTGCACACCGTTACGCGGTTTGCAACATCTCCTCAAGCATAATACTATGTATTTTTTAATATATTCCTTAGCTATTAACGTTAATTCTATATTGAGCGTATGCATCATGTTTGTTAAAATTATCTTCGTTCATAATTCTTTCACCTAAAACCATTCATTGTATATATCAATATTGATTTAATATTTATTTTTGCCTCTTTTTCCACAAATATAAATTTAATTATTTCATGATTTTATATAAAATTTAATATCAATTTTAATTTCGTGTAATGTACTTACCTGGAACAAGAAAAAAAACACTTTTGAATATTTTGATTATTTTTATTATTGTTGAAAAAATCTTTAATCATTAATTAAAAATCTATTAGATAATGAAATAAAAGATTTTTTACGAAATAACATTTTTTCAGAATTGTTCAAAATCTAGAACATTGAAGAAATTTGGAGATAATGAAACAAAAATTCAAGAAATATATAGATATCATGCAATTTAAAAAAAAAATTATTATAGCAAAAAATAATATTTAGTATTTATATAAATTAATAAATTTTAAGTTTAAATAAAATTAATAATAATAATAATAATAATAATAATAATAATAATAATAAGTTTAAATAAATTAATAAATTCTAAATATTTAATTAATAAATTCTAAATATTTCAAAAAAAAAATAAATTCTAAATATTTCATAAATCAAATCATAAATGTCAAAAATTCAAACTCAAAACATTAATGATAATGATATTGATAATTAATGATAAAATTCAAAACATTCATGATTATATTTTAGAAACTCAAAAAATCAATCTCTTTATTATCGATTATAATTTAAATAAATTTTCTGATTTAATCTTTTTATATGTGCATGTACTAACAAACCGTGCTCAAAAATAAATAAATAAATTATAATAATAAAAATAAATAATAAAAAAATAATAAAATTAATTGATTTCTATAAAATGAGTAACATAATTTCAAGTAATTAAAATATATTATATATTACAAAAAAAAGATATAAGAAATAAATTCAAGAAATAACAATAAATAATTTATTATTAATTTTAAAGAATATTTTCAAAACTTCATTTAAACAAATGAAGAGATTTGCATAAATTATGATTTACTAATGAATCATGTTGAATATTAAAATCATAAAAAAATTAAGACTACACTTGTTATATACCTCATTATGTATCTGATTTATTAGTTTATTAATTATATTTAAAAAAAGATTTGAAAGTAGTATATAGCGATATTTTTCATTGAAATTCCTTTTCCTTTTAAAATATTAAATCGAGTGGATCACGATTCATAAAATTTTAAATTTAATTTCTCATTCTTAATTTTATACTTATATTATACTTATACTAATAAAAAACATAATAAACTAATAATAAACTAACATAATAAACAAATAACTAATAAAACATTTACTAATCTTTTAATAATAATCATAAAATACACAAATTAAAATTTTCTAAATATCAATTTGATCAATGAATTAGATTCATTCTGTACTAAAAAAAATCTAACGAATTTGATTCGTCTAACATTCCTAAAAAATGTAATATATAAACGTCATCAACATAGTAACAAACATACGAAATATCAGCTAATTTTTATTCTTATAGTTTATCGCAGGAAAACAGTTGCATGTAAGTACACATGGTACGCGAATAATTCCTTCTCAGTGAGAGCTGGCTGCCAGAGTCATGTAAAAGTGGATGTCCTATTAATGGAAAACAACTCGCGTTATCTCGGCTTCTACGCGGAAGAACAGCTGTCACGAGCGAAGGAATTGTCGTCGAACCTGTCAGCTTCCTATCTATCGTGTTTTTCTATATCGATCATAACCAAAATTGTCGTTGATATATATTAACATGACAAAATCCTTCCTGTATCACGTAGAATTGCACAACGCGTTCCACAACAAGTCTTTTCTCCCTTCTCGAGGCGACGAATTAGAAAGTGTTTAACGCGTTTCCAACCGCTGCTGGTTTGTGTAATGCAAATATCGTTTGCACAAGAACGAGACACGGGAAAATTGTATAAAACTCGCTGTAGTATTGATATTTTTTTACTGGATTTGATTTGATTAAATTATTTTTATCGAATCATGATTTATGTGTTTTTTTCGTTTAATATTGTAGAATAGAATTTTTTATTTGCAGATGTATCTAGTGTGAGATTAATGTAAATTAGTAAATAAAATTCTCCTTTCATCAATAAATTACTAATTTATTTTGGAAATTTAAAATTAAAAGTTAAAAATTAGAAATTAAAAATTAAAAATTTAAGTCAGTTGCAGTTTTATTATAAAATAATCCTTTTTTTCTTTCTATTTATAAATTTTTTCTATTTAAAAATTTCCTTAAATTTATTTTTTAAAAAAAAAATATTCTTTCAAAAATATTGATGTGTCGTTTTTTGGATAACCAAAATTTATTCTCAAAATTAATCTATTCGAATATTTATAATTATATTATACTTATATAAAATATTTAAATATTTAATTTATTTTAGAAATTAATAGATATATAATTTTATCTCTTATTTAGATTTGAATCTTCGAATTGAAAAAACAAATATCATCAAAAATGATATCATCTTTTAATCTTCTTGAATTTCCAAAATGTTATATAATAATTATATTACTTTCATTTATCTGAATGCTAATATAAATTTTACTGCAAATATTAAATAAATTAAATTGAAAATAACTGAATAAATCATATAAAATTTATTAGAATGTATTGCGCGTTGAAACTTCTATTGTAAAAAGATGTTCATGATATTTAATTAATTAATAAATTTTATTTCGCTCAATTCACTCAATTTAATAAAAAATGAAATTATTATTCCCGAAATTATAAATCTTGTCATAGCACTGACAAAATGTCATAACACTCAAAATTATAACACTGTTAAAAAATATAAAATGTAAAACATCACCAAGAAAACAAGAAAACTCACCCTCAGATTGTGTTTCCACAACAACGAAGAACAATACCACCGCCAACATTAACAATTTCGTGAACCAAAGTCTCCACATGTCTTCGCCCATCTGTTTCCCCGCTGTCACGGAGTTACGAAATCAGAAGATGCACACTTTCATGTAAATCGGTCCAAACGTTATAACGTTATCTCGTTACATCGACACCAAAATCGACTTTTCCTTTCTTTTACACAATTCCGTACCGATCACCTTTATCGTTCAATCCAAAATCAAATAAACAAACAATTTTTAAAATCCTTATTTTTCATTCAAAAATAATTTTAACTAAAACCGATACGTTGAATAAACGTTTTTAAAAAAAAAAAATAATAATAAATCCAAAAAAATAAATCCAATTTTCTTCCCTTATAAATAAAGAAAAATAGGGATGTTGTTTGAAATAAGCGATAAATATAATAAACGATCTTTTCCTCTTCTTATTGTCACAGTCTTTTCACGAAGATACTAAAGACGAAAAATTTTCCACCTGGTCACCAGACAGTACGGTTAACGAGAGCTCCGGTACTCGAGCAACCAACCGATTGACCTTTCTCCCGGGTGCGTAACTTTGTCTGTATCCCGGTGAGGACTGAAGGGGAAGCAAAGCCCGCCGCCGGCTGTTGGGAACCGGAGAAAGGTATATCGAGAGAGAGGCCAGAGGCGAGTCGGTAAGGCCCCTCTTCTATCATTCCTGTTCCCCCTCCCTACTCCGATTCAACGGTCTTTCTCTTTTCTTCAAATGAATGGTGGTTCCTTCTTGTCCTCGTTGTCGTCTTTATGGCGAGAGGGATCATTTTGCCTGTCGCGATAATCTTTTCTTCTTTGCCGGATTGTTATTGTCATTGTAATTGCGCTCGCGCGCACGCGTCGTTTCGATTGCGAGATTTGTATTCGCACCAACTTACCGAGGACTATGACGTAGCCTTGTATCTTATCTCTGAAGAAAATATCCTTGTCTTGAATGCTTGGAAATGAGTAAAAAGAAAGAGTGGAGATCAAAAAAGAATCAAAGGGTTTTTTAAATCGATGGGGATGTAATTAAAATGTGAATAGGAATGATATGATTGAGGGAAAGGGATGATATGAAAATTGAAAGAGTTGAGGATTTGTAAGATTTGAAAATGATACTTGAAAATTAAGAAATGAGAATAATAAAATAGTAAAAAGTATTAATAAGGATATAAAAATTGATATAATTGAAAAATATTAAAAGTTGAGAAGATACTGATGGTATTAAAAATTGATGATTATAAAAAAAAATTAAAAATTGGAGAATTATAAGTTAGTCAAAATTAAAATATGAAATGATATATAAATTGTAGGATATAAATTGAGATTATTTGTATTTTATATATTTGTAAGATTTGAAAATGATATTGAGAGAGATGAGAAATGAAAATAATGGAATAATAATTTAAAAAATGTGAAATCAATGATGATTCATTGAAAATAGAATTCAAAATTTATGGGATGTAGGAATTGTTGATAATGAAATGATAACTAATGGAAAGATATGAATTCAGAAATTGAAAAATGAAGGAATAAAAAAATAATAAAAAATTAAAAATAGGAAAGATATTTAAGTAATAGAATTAAATTAAATTGGAATAAATCGAAAGACATCTATGTATACTATACGGAATTAAAACTTAAACAATTTTTTGAAATTAATTTTTTTCAAAAATTAAATCAACATTAAAATCAACATTAATAAACAAAAAAGAATTTCACATTTTTTTTTTAAATCTAAAACACTACCCAATAAAATATTTTGTGAAATTTATATTCATAAAAAAAGTTCGATTAATTCCAGTTTCATTCTTTTTCGCTTCTTTTCTGTCTTGTCCATCATTCCAGTGCAACTTTCGAGCCATATTATAAGACCACCCGTTACGTGGTAATTCAACCGAATGCACCAGTGGAGTTGAGACGCCGTTACAGCTGGCACATTTGCGTTAATTTACTTGTCAAATCTCTGTTCCACTAATTGGAAGATTCATTCTTGATCATTTCCCATTACAATAAATCGTAAGCTCATATTTGATGGAATTGAATTATCAAAACGATTATCAATGAGCATGAATCATATATTTGTTTGATCTTTACGATAATGGATAATTTTGAAAAAATAAATCCTTAGAATGAAACGATTGATTGAATTTGAATACATTGAGTCTGGATTGATTCTGTAAATTGTCTTCAATTAGACATTAAATTAATTTGTATTTGATCGTTTCTCATCTGTTCACTCCTATCTTGTGAACAGGTACGTCCTAATCGTGGAATACGAATGTTTGATCGATGAATATTTATTGGCGAAAGAAAGGCGAGAAAATATGGAGGTTTTTAACATACTCTACTATCTACTATGTGAATAGAATTCGTCTAAAATTACTTTCAAAAATAACGGATCTTTGATTTACTTTTTTTAAAAGAGAAAAGTAATTTATGCAAAATGATAATCTGAAAACAGCGATCCATTAATTAGATGTTACTTTCAAATGTTTGAAAATTTCGTGTGAAATATTCTATCGAAATATTTATTTAAATAATAACTAAAAATTGAAAAAGTAGAAATATTTGAATTTTAATTAAAAAATAATAATGAATAAAACAATTATTACATTTTATTACAGAAGTAGAAAGAAATATTATATATTTTATATAGTAATATTTTATCAAATTTTAAATTTAATTTTTTTTAATTTTATTAAATACATGAAATATCTTATTGTTGAATTGTTAAATTCAAAAATCATACTGATTATTAATTATATATAATTATATTAATTATATATATATATATATATATCTAATATTTTTATATATATATTATTTATATATATATACACATATATACAATTATATATATATATATATATATATATATATAATAAAATTTAATTGAAAATTTGATAATAAAACATTAAAATTTAATGTCAATAAAACTGCTAATAAATTAATTGTTAATTAATTTCTCCTGCAAAAAAGGAAATTTCATTTATAATATTTACGAAATTTTCAAACTAAATTTTTTAATAATCCAATAAATATTTAAATTAAAATGTTTAAAAATCATTTATTCCTTATTCATATTTTGTGTATATTTATTTTTTATTTATGTTATTAGATATGTTCTTTAATTATAATTTTATCACATATTCAAAATTTGCGAGAATAACCATAATAAATTTTGAATTATTTGCAATTTTATTTTTATTCTATATTTTGTTTTCAGTAAAGCTATAAAGAATTCTATCATTTCATTTAGAGACATATATAATATATATAATATATATATAATATATATAATATATTATATATATAATATGTAAAATATATATAATATATATAATATAATATATAATATATAAGAATTATAATAAATATAAAATCTATAATAAATATAATTTAAAAAATCTACAAATTTATAATAAATATAATAAAAATGTAATAAAAGCTATCAAAATAAAAAATTCATATCCTACCGAAACATAATATCTAAATATAAAATAATAATAAAAATTTTAAAAACCGATAGAAATATATCATAATTAAAAATAATAATAAACTTAACAAAAATAATACCCTTATCCATAAAATCTTCCATACACTTTATTTCCTAGGAATTATAAACATTCTACCACCCACAAATCTCTCGACACTTCTTTTAGAACCATCCTGTATGCTTCTCCAAGATTCAACTTCTTAGAATGCTTCCCTTAAAACCAACTTACCAACCGTCTCCCGATAAGGTGGTCCACCTGTTGATCAGGCTTGAATGAACTCGATGGTAAAATGGGAACGATTCTTGAAGGAAGCTGTACGATATAATGGTTTCTCAAAGTGGGAGGTTCGCATTATAGATAGCGACCCGAGGACCTACATTCACGGAGTGGACTCTTCTCTTTTCCCAGTGTGTCTGCCTCGTCTCCTCCCGAGTATTCATGTCGATGTTGGTTGACTTGCTTACCAACCGATTTTCTCAAATTCCACTGGAGAAATTACTCCCTTCCTCCGATTCTTTCTTTTCTCCATATTTTTTTTTCTCTTTCTATCTCTCTCTTTCTATTTTGTTTCTTTCTACTTTACATCATCCAAAAGCGTGACGCTTATGGATCGCGAAATTAAACAACATCGAGAAAATGGTCTAAGGAGAGATTTATAAAAAAAATATGTTAAACTATCATCGTTAAAATTAAATGATTTAATATTTAGACAAGAAAAATTTATTTAATCCTTTGTAGTCAAATTTTTTGTATAATTATAAATTAATATGATTAAATGATAACAAAAAGCGAATAAAATGAAATTTAAAAGATATTCAATTTGATATAGTAGTTGTACATATATAGTTACATACATAATGTTATATATTAACATTTTTAGAACAAAAAATTGTTTATATTTACAAATTAAAACTTTAATTTATATGGATAATTAAAGATAAAATATATAAACCTATTCCGATTCTTTGATGTCTAATAAAATTATTTCGATTTTCATTAAAATTTTATGGACATATTATAAACAGCATTGGTATGATTAAAAAATATTTTTTTAACTCTATTTATTTTTGTAATAATACATTTCTTTTAATATTTTATAAATTTTTGAAAAAATTTTTACAGAAAGTAAAACTTCATAATGCAAAAACTTTGTTCTGTATTTTAAATTTATTCTTATATTTTTTTATAAAAAATTTTGTTCCTGACTGTATAATTTTTGCTGAGTGAGGTTATTAGCAATCCCGTTACTTTTCAGGTAAACTTTGTTTTACATCTTACATTGTTACATTTTATAATTATCATATTGATAAAGCAATAATATTTGTTAAGAACATTTGCCAAGAATAAAATGTAATTCCAATACAATCGTGTTTCTATTCCTTTTTTGATAATTAGATATCATCGACTTCACTGTCAGTCATTTTTACGCTCGCTTAAACTTTACGATCTTTTGATGTTCTTGCATTCCCAATTATATCTGATGTTAATCCACCCTCTTATTAAATGAACTGGTATAGTCGAATTAGAAAGTTGATAGTCCAATTACATTTTTTTTTATTT